CCAGCTAGCAATCCAAAACAGTCCAGTGGCACCTTTAAGACCAAGTTTTATTCAGGTACAAGCTCTCCCTCCTCTGTGAGGACAGATATGCATGTTTCCCCCCCCCCCAAATAGCTAGCAATTCAAAACAGTCCAGTGGAGCCTGAGCGGTGGGTGTTGTCTTCTGACACACTTCCGGTGCTGTCAGGGGGTGTGGCATATGCAAATAAGTTATGCTAATGAGCTCCTGCACCTCTTTTTCTATGAAATGACCCCTGCACGTGTGCATAATTATTTACCCAGCAATCTGGCTTCTCCGGCGCCTTCTTGAGGGGTCTCCATTTAAGACCTCTGATGATGCATTCACTTCTGTTCACGGGGAAATCAAGAGGTACCCCCATCCAGCCATCCAGGCACCTGAAACAGAATTGTGTGCTTTATGCCAGAACACCTTACATGGCTCAAGAAGAGTTCAGTGAGATAAGTACAGCTTTACCATATTCTATGACCCTACTCAATCCATTTTTATCCAGGAAGTTGGCAGCTGCAGGGAACTACTGTGACTTCTCAGCCTCACATCGTCTGGGCTGCAGAAGAGATTCCATGTTTTATATTAATGACACAGAAGCTCAGATGCATCCTGAAAAACACCTGTCTTCTGAGGTTTACTGAGAACTCATCAAATTCCAAGCAATGAGTAACCATCAAGGCCTGCAGGGACAGTAACCATCCTTCCAAGACCACTTAGGAATTGCCTGACAAAGAGTTCTTCTCTCTCGGAACCTAATCAAATGAATGGCCAAAACAGCTACCTATCTCCTCGCCATCATTAGCAGGCATGAATCACATGGGTAATGCAATGAATTTTGGACAGCAGTGTTCCCTCTAAGCTGAGTCAGTGTGAGCTACCTCACAGTTTTTTAACCTCCAGCTCACACATTTTTGTCTTAGCTGATTTTCCCAACTTGTAGCTACATCACCTAAGTTTCTCCCTCAAAGGAAAATGCACTCTCCCTCAAAGGAAAATGCACTCTCCAATGACAACCTGCATTCTGGGACATTTGCCTGAGTGAGACCCCAGTCACAGGTCACAGGTCCTAAACTGTGGCCTAATGGCAAAGCAAATCCCGCAGAGTCACCAGTACCTTTAGATGGCATCCTGAAATGGATAGACTGTGTTCCTTTC